GTATGATGAAACAAGCTACTGCAAGCTACCACGTTGGTTTGGCTTACCCACTTTCTCTAAGTTGGAAGATCCGGGTGTATGGATCAACCGTGCTGAGCGGTGTTTCCATTATTAGGGAACTCCAGCTGATCGGATGCTAGAAATAGCATGTTTCTACCTCCTCGAAGTTGCAGGTCCGTGGTGGCAATACATTGAGAGAACATAGAGGGAGTCTGGTGTTTGGCTTACTTGAAATTTGTTCAAGGAGGAGCTTTGGAGTCGTTTTGGACCGACAGGAGTGGAACTCTAGCTGAGCAATAAGTGCATCTTCAGCAAACAGGCAGTGTTCGTGAGTACCAGTTGGAGTTAGAGAAACTCATCTAACGTTGGATAGTGGAAAATCAAGTTGTCACCGTCTTAGGTGGTGGCTTGAAGCCAGAAATTGCTGAGGCGGTTCGAATTTTCGGACCCACCCATTACATGTTTGGATGGATATGGTGGGTGGGTGTGGGTCATCGTTTTTCTCACCCACTAAACTTGGGTGGTTGGCGGGTGAGTAGTGGGTGAATCATTTTCTTCAAAATCACATGATATATTAAGTCGTCAATGCATATTCTATAATAAACACTATTCTTTCTTATACCAAAACTTCAATAGTGATTGATTCAATTAAATTACAATTATCTTGTATAAATTTTACTTTATTTACAACATAAAATCGATCATTTTAAAATATGATAACTATCAACAAAATATTTTGTGTTCGCATATGAGGTAATTAGTGTTAGATTATCCAGTAAACTATGTTTAATAGCTCTCAATTTTCTTGATTTGTAGTATTGATATTCAATTAGTTTAATACAAACTTTTATGGCTCATAACTGTTTAATTATTTAAAAATAATGACCCACCAAAATCGCCAAACCCACCCACCATCTGCCGTCACCCACCCAACTGACCCATAACGATACAAATGGGTGCGTGTGGGTTATTTTTTCACCACCCACCATAACAATGGGTGGGTGGATTTTACCCAAAAACCGACCCATCCCTACCAATCATTGCGTGAAACTTTTCACAATGCAATGCACAAGGAAGAGGAGTTAGCCGGCAATTGGCTAGGATTCAAGCATCCAGGATACCTCCACCAGTGCACGAGCAGGTAAAGCTAGACATCGCCCTCCTCCAACCAGAGTTCACCACTTAACCTCGAAAGAGGTGGATCGCAAGCGGCGGGATGGCAAGTGCTGGTATTGCGATGCACGATGGACTATTGGACATCGTTGTGACATGAGCCTCATGCTTATGGTTGCCAATGACGAGTTTCCAGAAGGGTTCACACGTGTGGGCACTGAAGTCGTTGAGCCATACTAGTTCATTAGCTATAGTTTATTTGGTCCAACCTTGAGGACAAGGTTGTTCTCAATGAGGATGGATTGATATTATCATCATCATCTTCTTATTATTATTATTATTATTATTATTATTATTATTATTATTATTATTGGATAGTATTAGAGTTATAGGTTGTGGAGTATAAATATTCTTTGTACCTTTGTTATTCGGTTCATCAAGAAATAAACCTAAAGCAGATTCTTGAGCAAATCCATAATCCTCTCAATTCTAATCTCTTCAAACCATAATTATATTCTCAATCTTCCCCAATGCTATTCTCAAATTACTATCTCATATCGATAGAAACTCAGATTTCTATCATTCACTTGCTATATTTTTTAGGTAAGTATTATGTTGTTCATTGTGGATATACAAACATGCTTGGGTTTCTAGCACCATATCAAAAAAGGAGGCTTGTCATATTCAAGAAATCAATCGTGTAAGTGGACACAAAACTCGCAAACAATTGTTCAACTATTATTATTCATCTCTACATAATGTTATCGAATGTTGTTTTGGAGTTTTGAAGGTTGGTTCCCAATTCTAAAACACATGCCTTCTTCTTCACTCAAGAAACCTGCACAATTTGTTATTGCTTCTTTTGGACTGCTTAACTTCATTATGATTTTCTCTGATGAAGATGTCATGTCTAAAGAACATCAAAATTATCATATTGAAGAGGATGTTAATGGAGTGCAAGGAGTACAAGAAAGATAAAAATATAATATCAGTTCAAGGCGAACTCAGCATATGGATATACGACGTGATGAAATGACAGACAAGCTGTGGAATTACTTTCAACCTGGCTAATTTGATAGTTCGTTTTATGATTGTGTTCATTTTATATAAAATTGTGTACTAATATGTGTTTATTTAGTGTAAAACAATGTGATTCATATAAAAATTTAACATAAGAATTACTTTGACATGACATTGAACAAAAAATGCAGTAATCAAATATCACAAACCTTATGGAGATACCCATTTTTAGGTTTACTAACCAACTAAATAGGTTTTTATTTCCAAGTTTTTCAGGAATTATTTATCAGGAAATGACAGTTTCTTTTCTCCACAATTTGGTTTATGTTGCCACAACAACAAAAGAACATACTAAGAAGTTAAAGGGGTTTAAGTTGGAAAATTGAGAACTTGATGGGCAGTGTGGAAGGGGCAACCCGCGATTTGGATGCTAAAGGGGTGAGAGATACTTGCTCCTTATCGTGAAATTTTATAAACGAAAACCACAATGTCGGAAAACCCGACTGGTATTTATTTTATTGGGGAAGTTATCATGTTGAATAAGCCTTTATGACTTTATTCTTTTGGATGCATTGAGCTCTCAAATCCACCGACAATCTAGTAATGAGAGGTGTCGTGAATCTTCTTGTCAAAAGTTTAAAAACTAGTATGCTGACTTGGCTGAATAATTTCCAAAAGATGAGAGCATCACATTGGTATTGCAATCTCAATAGCAAGATGACATGACATTAGTGTTTGCAATTGCAAAACCAATTTCATTGATGTGGCTACCAATTGCGTATTTGCAAGCTTGCAACAAATGCAATTGCATATGCAAGTTAAAAATGCCTAAACAATGGAGATTCTATATTTTATATATTTTCTCTTTTACTTCATTTATTATAATTTAAACATAATATTTAATTAAATAAGCAATTATAAGTTAATTGCATTGATGTAGGTGAATGAAAGTGATTTGAGATGAATTGCAAATTTTTTTTTATGTGAGAATTGCAAAAAATTTGAGTTGACAATAAAGAGTATAAATGCAATTGTTTTTTGGGTAAATACAATATATTAGCCATAACTATTAAATAGCGGAGAATTGTAGCCACAACTATCGAAATACAAATTATTAGCCATAACATTTATTGCGGGTCAAGATTTGGCTAACAGCCGTTACTGTTTTCAAATTTTTAACGGAGAAGGCCATGTCAGCATTAGTAAAAAAATATTATATGATGACTGCCAAGTGGGAGCCAGCTCAGCATCGTAAAAGTTTAGTCATCATTACTAATAGAACTGTTAACGAATACTTAGCGATTGGCTAATAATTAGTATTTCGATAGTTGTGGCTATAATTCCCCGCTGCTTAATATTTATGGCTAATATATTGTCTTTGCCCTTGTTTTTTTACAATAATTGCATCAGGAACTTTAGAATTTTGCAGCAGAGGCAAAGGCCAGATGCATTTTAAAACCAGTTGCGAAAGATTTTGAGCGAGAAAGTTAAGCTTCCGCTTTCCTTCTTTAGTCAACATGTCGCTGACTCGAGCTACAATCTAAAAAATACTATATGGCAATGTCAAGATACAACTTTTGCCACATCAGCCTCTGTTGAACGCGCCGCACAGATCGGAGGGTCTTTCCCCTCAATTCTCTAATCTTTCTCTTTCACACATTCTATTTACCAATCTCCGACCAGATAGTGAACGCCTCTCTCTCTCTCTCTCGCCTTCCCAACATATCATGCATGCCAAGCCCTACCAGAAGTCAAAGTCTCTTACGTGTTGTCCCAACACAATACCGAAGACCTCCTATTCTCTTAATAGTCGTAGACTCTGTATTCCTGCTCTGCGTCGCCGATGTTCTGTTGCCGATCATGGAAGAAGTAGAGAAATCAATCCATGAAAGCAATCATTGGCGCCTATGAAGGGTTCGATTTTCCCTACTTGAACTAGCTTACGTCTGCTGGAAAGAGATAGTCGAAAAAAGCTGGCGGACAATGACGATTGCGAAAACAAGCTGGCGCCTATGCATGTATCATCATTGTAATGCCCTCGAAATGAGCATATTTTTTCAAGAACAACATATTTTATTGGTTCTTATCCTTAATTATGTTTGTGTACATCATGAGTTGTGGTGTATATAGTGATTCGAATAGACTAAAAGGGATAGCACAATCTGATTACCAGTGAATAATTGGCTCTGCCTAAGCGAAGTGACTGTATTATTTTCAAAATATCTTTCTGAGTTCAACAACACAAGATCGATCTAATCTTAGTGGAAGAATCCTACCAATGGATATTTGAATCCAGTGCGTCCCACTTTATATGCCTACGTTAATGTCCCCTCTTATAAAATGATATAGAGGAGAGCAGAAAGGATGGAAAGACAAGTGGGAGACAATGTATCATAAAGCTTCTGGGATTTGATACCCAACAAAATATAAATCGTAACCTGTTGCAGGAATTGAAAGCAACAACATGTATAAAAGGACGAGAGCTTGCTGTTTTTCCTTTAAGGTTATATGAATTGTGGTTCTAATAGAGAGTGATTCAGTTTTCCTTTTTTTACCAACTCTGAAATGCTCTAAGAATGTCCAGTAACAACTTGGGCCCTTACACCGAATATTATATTTTTTTTCCTTCTAATTCATTAACACGTATTTTGGTTCAGTGTTTTGTGGTTGTTGGCTGTGAGATAACTGAAGCTCCTGTGATTCTAAGCATCAACTCAGTTTCGGCAATAATTTACGTTATAGTTGATGTTACTTCTATAGCTACTAGTATCAATACCCGTGGCTACGCTACAGGAGATTTAGTTGTGTTTAGTATATTTCAAAACACTATAGTGTTAACGAAAATAATTAAAAATTATATATAAAAAGCAAGTAACATATTTTTGTTTAAAAACTTAGACATCTTGTTATGCAAGGCAACTTGCAATCATAATGATAATCTACAGAGTATAAGACTAAAGAGTCAACTCAAGCCCTATGTAAACTCTTCATGAACTTTTTAAATTCTTCACCAAAATTACACCGAAAAATATACCTTGCAATTGGAAAAAACAACACACACAATGATCAACCAAATATTCCACATGAAAGACAGACTGGCTAATGGAGAAACCGTGGGCCTTCTTATAAAATTTAGGTCGTCATCAGCTCGCACGGTATCTTTCAGAACTGGCAGACATTCTATAATAGTATAATATATACACACATGAATACCCCATCCCAACTTTCAGTTCCAATAACCCAGACCGCCAAAACAACTCATATTTCCTTCTTCTGCTGCATTCCATTTCATTCATTCTTAAAAAACAGAAACAATAGCATAATCAGTGATGAGAGGATGTACCAGAACTTCGTAGGTCAAGCGAGTAGCAAAGAAAATGTTGGGGGCTGCTGGCGGCTCTTTCTCCTCCTCTAGCAAGCCTTCTGATTCACATCTCCCTCCCTCCTTCCAGTATTTATTCTCCACCTCATTGTAAGTAAGTCAATCCTAATTTTTCTTCTTCTGCTGCTAAGCTGCTGGAGCATTCTCCAAGTCTTCTCCTTCCCTGAGTACATTTTTTTCAGAACAGAAAGTTTATTGTTAGTGAGTGAGTGAGTTTGACACATGGTAGTGGCACTGGCATGCTATAGTAACTCACATCGCCATTCACCTCCGCATTTGTTGGTGGGCTCAACTGCTGATGATAACCTTAGACTTCCTTCTCAAGGAAAGGGATCTCCCTCTCCCATCTGATAAGGATCTCATGCAGAACGTCCATCTCCTCTTCATCATAGGAAAACGTTTCTTCCACCATTGTACGACTCCGCCTCAGCTTTGTCTTCAATGACGCTTTCTCTTCTTGCAACCGCAATATCATTGCCATTGCTTCATCAGCGGCACTTGCAACCTGCAAGCAGCAGCTCTCTCCTTCTCCGATTATTGGTAAAGGGAAGCACAAGCAACTTTCTCTTCTTCAAGTGCTTGTTCTAGATTTCTGATAGTAGTCAAGTGTATTACCATGTTGTCTGCTACCTCTTCGACTATAGTGACAGATTTATAAACAGATGATGAAGAAGCCATCACACTGGTCCCTTTCCCCTTTCCACATGGTTTAACCGGAGCAAAACTGGATATCAAATTTTTAGCAGGACCAGGAGCATTCAGAAGTCCTAAAATAGCATAATGACAAATGGTCTATCAACTATCACATTAAAAAGAGAAACTCCCGTGGACAACAAACACAAAGAGATTGGAATCGACTTGAAGCAATATAAACACATTCAAATAAAGCTTCAAACCAACATATGATGCAAATGAAGCTGTTTTCTAACCGTGAACAGACTAACCATGCATAGATCTTTAACAAAGAGGTTTCTAAACTGTTAAGTCTATAAGTGGCTAGTTAGCTGAGCTCGGAAGTTGTGTCTCACTTATTTGTAGATTGTTGGAGAATTGCTTGATATCGTAGACACCCTTAGGAACATCAAATAATGCCTAAATCTTGGGCAAGCGGTGGAGATAACTACAACTCCCAGAACAATCATTTAGCAGAAAATTCCACTATTCCCTTCACTGTATGAGTGTAGGATTTTGATTACCAACTCAAAATCAATACAAACACACGATTGAGCCAACTCAAAATCTAGTATATAAAAGCTAGGGAAACCACATTCTTGTAAGGGTTGCTGTCCTCTATCAATGGATCTTTTTTGGCTAGACATTGTTTGATTTGAAGCTCGGATAGAGATAAAAGGGAGCCAAGTTGCAGCTGGTCTCCCTGTCCCTAAACCGATTTCTGCCTATTCGTTAGGAAGTCTAAGAAAATTGGGATTTGGATTTAAGGTTGGCTGATCGAGTGGTGCAAGGAGATAGAAGGACCCACCAACCTGCTTTCTGTGCCACTTGCAGGCAAGGTCGAGAATAGATGTTCAAGAATAATGCTTCCCGTCGTCGCCACGGAGTTCTTAACACCAAACCTTTTGTCCTAATAGCATGGGAATCTGATTGTTAAAATAGGTGTCACTATTTAAAAGGAGGAAGAGCATAGAATGGAAAAGCAATTAGCTTTGTAATATTACTTACGGCGTGAAGGAAATAAACCCTCCCAATAGCAAGAACCCTGTTGAGATGGCCTGACAGCTGCTTAGGCGCAATTCATTGCACCAGCACCCGCAGAAAAGGAGAGCACAACGGAATTAAGCAAAGGAAAGAGCAGACGATGTGCATAAGGAAGTAAGGCGGAGAGAACTAACCAATTCGTCCGTCCACAACGTGGAGTGCTCGTAGAATCCGTCGGGGAGACAGGGGATTCCAGCCATCCATATGCAGGAGGTGCAACTTTATGATTTATGACGCCAACGTAGATTGGAAAGAGACGGGAGCCGAGAACTGGACATGGGTGGGAGAGAACTGGAGAGAACGCGAAAACAGAAGAGGCCACAGAACTAAGGTGGGAGAGGACCACGAAACTAAGCAATCCGGCTCCAAGGGCCAATCAAGGTCAGCACAGTAGAGCAGGTACAGTACGATTCATGGCCCCTAGCGTGTTTGGAAGAGGTTCCGGTAGCGGTGTTGTGTGTGAGCAACAAAAGCGACCTGAAATCCGGAAAAGATTAGGACAGCGGTGAAAGGATGGCAGGGCGAGGAAGATTAGGCAGCAGCAGATCTGCACGTACGGACGGTAAGGGTAGGCATGGCCGCTCGCTGGATTAAGGGAAGGTAGGGAAAGCTCCGTAGTTGAGTGTGGAAGAGCTGAATGGGGAAGCTATTTCTCAAAGCCCCTTCACCGATAGGCACTAAACGACACATAATGAAACAGTAACCAAAGAAGTTTGGCCAATAAAGCGTAGTCAGCTTTTACATATAAGATTGTAGAGAACCCATAGAAATTTTTTCTTGAATTTGATTTATGAGAGTGTTGTTTCTGTGCTCAACTATTTAATAAAGTTGCACTTGAAGAGAGCTAGAGAACTATATGTCCCTGTTTTCCCTAGAATATTGACCTCATAACCATCATGCACTATATTGAGTTTCTAAGTTTAGTTTTCAAATGATGAAGTAAAGGAGAAGTTGAATCTGACATCATAAAAACAATCAGGTTGCTAATGCTTGTTGAAATTTCTGCGAACACCCAAGTAATCTGTGGGTTAGTGTGATCATCACCATTTAATGAAGTATCATCCTTTCTGCGTCGCAACTTCTCACTTCCTTCTGATTTGATGTGTATACGTTTTCCCTTGCTAATTTGTGGTTAATTGTGATCTTTCAGTTGCCACTTGCCAACACCGTTGATGGTGTCAGATTCAAGGAAACTAACTTGAAGGTATGCATTGTATCTTCGAATAACATCATTCAACGCTAAAGCAAGTAATAAGATTGTAACGCCTTGGTCTATAGACATTTTGCTAATGCAATATAATAGATGATTTCACTATCAATGTCTTCAGCCATCTCCCTTTTCATAATGTAGGCCATTAATCTTTTCATTCTCTTGCTTTCACTCTCTTCCAAGGAAATGCTTCAGCTATCATGATTCTGTTTCTTCTTGCTAATTGATCGTTTGCAATCTTTTTGTTGTTGTTGTTGTTGTTGTTGTAATGAGCCAGAATAAAGTTCTTGAGATGGCATATTACTTATACTTAGTTAGTAGTAACTTCTAAGCATGATAACATAATGAATCAAAAGTAGTTTGTGATTTTGATTTGATTTCATTGCTTCTTAGTTTTGTTCTTAGTGTTCTTCTGAGAATTGCTTACTGAAAGATGCTTCAACTAATAATGATTCTTTTTCTGCTTGCTAATTGGTTGCTTGCGATCTTTTTTGTCACTAAGATTTTATGCTTTATTTGGCATCTGTTCGATGGAGTTCTTAGATTTATTTGGTTACTACAAAGTTGAAACGCCTTTTCAGCTTCATAGGAATGGTACTTAATTTGATCTTCTAAGTTGGTTTTTTCCTCTTGGAATTCTGTACTTCGATCCTCTTTAGGGACATGGGGCTATTATTATTAAGTGTGTAGAATTTTTATGCAAGGAGTGGGGAAGTAATAGTTATATTTTGCATAACCCCTAAACTTCCTCCACTCTCTTCCCTAACAACATTTTCTATTCTTCAATTATTGTTTGAAAGCAAGAGTCTAAGTGCTCTATTTCCAAGTTCTTCTGAGTTGCATAGACCCTAAACTTCTCCAGGTTGACCATAGGTATAGAATGCAACTCCATTTGCAAGACAATTCTGGTGAAGCTAAGTTTTCCATTTTGGAGCGTGAAGGTCTACGTTTCTTCCGAGCAACGATTGATATTTTATTCCAAGCAAATCAGAGGAAGAAAGAATCCATTCCTCCACGGATACAACAAGTTAATAATGTGTGTCCCTTTTGGAGAACATCGATTTCAAATTTATGTGACTATGATGTTGCAACCTGTTTCCTTATAGCTTCACAAGGGTTATCAAGTTATGCCTCAACTTGAAGAGAGTTGGTTTTATTTTCCTTTTGTTATGTCGCCTTGATACCTTAGTTGAGTAGCTTCTTCTTTCTCAATAGAATGGTTTGTAAGATGGGTACTTTTTTTACACATTTGAATTCTTCTTTAGTGGGATATATTCTTTTGCCGGAAGGGTAAACTTGCAAGCTTAATGAGAACATAAACGGTACAAAAGAAATTGACCAGAAGTCATGGAGGCCACAAGCTGTGAAACCACCAGCAAAGGGGAACAAAGAAAATAAATGATTGGGAGGGAGACAAAGGATCCAAGCTACAAGTGAGAAACACCCACCCCGCGAAGATGGAATAGCAACTCCTCAAACAAACGCTTCAAAGTTTGCTGCAAAGTGTAATCTTTTTATATAATTGTAATATGATTTTATAGGTAATAAAGAGAAACACCACAAAACACTTGGTACATAGAACAAGACATGTTTCAGGAAATGATACACATCAAACATCGACCTGGATACAAAACAGGTTTATTGTTCATATTACGTAACATCATTCTGCAAATTGGTTGCTCTTATGGTATGAAATTCTTAAACAAGAGTCACAACAATGATTTTTCAACATAATGCATTATAAAGATGGATTTTATCATCAATGATGAAATTGTCAAAATCAGGAATTCAAATTGCATGAGTAACATTGGTATACTCCACCTGCCAATTTGTACAACATATTACATATTGGTTTTACACTCAACCTGCCAACGGGTCGGGCCCAATGTTCTAGCAATAATTCATGGACCAGCCGGCATAACGAACTAGATATCATAACCCGAGGCGAGCTAGCTGCATGGAAAGTTGGAAACGAAACGATTAACCAATTTGAAGCAACGCAAAGGTCCAATAAACTAGGAGAAACTGTGAGCAGAGAAATTTTAAAACTAACTAACGACTACCAGTCCCAAGGTATGTACAAAATTACCAGGTCACACACACTACAAATTTTCCATTCTGATGGCCAAGAATTTCACCCAAAAGAAAGGCTAATCAAAGATATTGATGGTAAATCCATAACTAGAGCCCGTCCTTGGCCAGCTCCACCCAAGGGGGAAACAAGAATATAACAATATTTTAAAGCTTCCTGTTGGTCCTAGCACTGTGTTCATGTTTGACGAGATTTGCCCTCAGTAGCATTGCCCTAACATCCCTGTCGAATTCACTGCCAGTCTGAAGAACTCGTTGGAAGGTGGCATTCCTCTGATCTGCATGACGTGCATATAGAATTTTGTTGTGCGAGTCTATACGAGCCTGCAGACAATTAATAACAAACTATGATCACCAGGAGTGTCCATGTATGATCTGGAAACAACACACTCAAGAAAGAAAGGGAAAACCAGCGGGTGCTTGAGCAGAGACCTGGATTTGATTGTCAGTGATCAATGTTGCAAGTTCCTTCTCTAGCCCCGCGACAGTTGTTTTGAAAGCATTAGCCATCATGTTCAAGTCAACAGACACAAACGGGTGTGTGTACTGAATAAGAGCCTTGTTTCGAATTTGATCATACAATTTCTCGACATGATCATGCAAATGCACATCCAGCAGCAGGTTTGCTTTCAGATTTGTCAAATAGTCCAGACAAGAAGCATAACGGCTGCAATACACATGGGAGAAGCATAAAGTTTTCGTATCAAGAATGACTGCATCTGTCAGATCTGAAGCTCAAGAAGCCATCATCGAGCCAACTACAAGTTGTATTAGTTTATGCTTCCATTGGTTGTAGACTGTCTACAACCAATGGAAGCATAAACTAAAACAAGGGAAGTATAGAAAAGTATGCCATGCTATCCTTTGCCCTTTATCTTTGTTCCACTTCTTTACCAATTTAAGAAGGAAAAGTTCAAACAAACTAGGTCTAGTGTGAGATTGAATTTTTAAATGATTCGAGCAAAAGACTCCTTAATTTTAAGCAAAAATCAGTTTACAATCCTTCAGGATACCACACCATTTAAAAAAAAAAAAAATCCAACACCTTAAACTAATCAAAACATACCATACATACTTCCATACAAATGAAAAATTCTGATCAGCAGCTCTAAACATTAGCATACAGACTAGATAAGGGGAAGGCTTATGTGTTAAAGCATTAATATCTCACCTCGAGTAGAAATCATTGATCAGCTCTCTCACTTCAGGAACTAATTCCAAGAAGTTCCGGAAGTTGAGATTGTCGATTACCTTGCTCTGTTAAATAAACCACTTGTCATTATTAGATGACACTAGAGATAACGAAACAAGAAAAGCATATAAGGGCTACCTTTAGCTCTGTCCGGTCAAAACTTGCAAGTGCACAAAGCCCACCATATGTTGCAACGTCTTGGGGTGCAATAACTTCATTGTAAGAATTTCCCAACTCAGGACCCACTTCCAGAAACTGCAATATGAAAAAAGAAAATACATGTACAGGATTACAAGTAAGATAAGAGGTAACTCGTGATTTTACAAACAACCTTATAAAAATCGAGCAAATAATGGATAACAAAGATAGGGATGCAATTTGAAATCTGTTGGAGCCAAATAAAAGACATGCTACTCAATTACTCATCAGGAGAAATGGACAGCATGACTTTTGACAGTGCAAAAAGCACATGCCAAGCTCATACTGGTTTTGCTTGAGGTTGTATCGTTGAGCACTCAAGTGAACATGTAAGGTGCAGTTCATTTCCATAAAGCTTTAATAATCCTAACCGAACTACACAAACCACATTCATTCAGAACTCAGAGACCATTTAGGAATAGAAAGGCTCAATTAATCCAAGAAGACTTGTGAAAGCATCTAACAGCCACATCACATTTGCAAGTCAGAAAAGTTACAAATATCAAATTCCCATAATTTCCATGAAGTGTTTTGAGAGAAAAATGAAGAAAGGAGCTCAATTAGTTTATTTGACAAACCTTTCGAGCAGCAAGCTTGTACTTCGTCATATCTAGATGCGCCAAACCAGAGGCACACTTTAACTTTGCGATTGTGGTAGGGTCAAGTGCTTCAGGTGTCTGTTCTGCTTTGCTGACATAACTTGAAACATGAGAAAACTGCCCCATCTCGATGCTCACAAGAATGGCACTCATACACATGTGGATAATGTGCTTTGACGTTGTACAATAATCTCGAGTGCGAATGTAACTCTTAAAAGCATCGCCAAGTGCACCATGAGCATAATAGAAATCTCCAAAATCGTTGTATCCCATTCTAATGCTTTCCTTTATCAAATTTGTCTGCATAGAGAGTGAAAAGAGCCTACTCAGGAAGTAAATAAGCAGGATAAGTGAGTTTTCAACACAACTCAAATGAGGAGAGCCTCACACTAGTTATGGACAACATCGTCCAAGTCAGCTACGGACAACAACTATCACATCTTACTGTGAACAAGATAGAGTCCGAAATTGCAATTCGATCTTGGATGGGCAGTCGCATAGCAGTGATATATAAAGCTAAAAAATGCCTTTACCACAAGAGAGTCATGATTTTGGAACCCACATTGCCAGAGAATTCACATAGCAAGTTTGATATTTCAATGAAATTGCTAATAAGACAGACCTAAGAAAGAGACTTCAACCTATAAGAAACCCAAATAACAAATCCAGCTAATGCTACCATCATCCAAAGGCATTCACCAGCTCGTAATACTTCTCTAAATTCCATAACCGTATGCCAGAACTAAAACCCTAAAACTGAGGTGAAAGGGATTACTGGACCAAGGACTCACCCGGTACGCATTGAGTTCATTCTCGAGCTTCTCCTTCCTCTGCTCAGCTCTGCGATCCACCGTCTCACACCAGGCATTGTCCATGCCGTAGTTAGGGCCGAGCCTGTCGTCGATCTTCTGCACAACTTCCCGAAACAGCTGGGTATTCTCGCCTTTCTTGATCTCGTCGTAGGCCATCCTCAGCGCTTCCTTCTCCATCGATGGGTTCCCGCAGTGGACGGCGATGAAGATGAGCCGCGTTATCTTAGTCCTCCCGGAGTATAACCCGGCATAGGCTTCGATGTCGAGCTGCTCGCCACTAACAATCGGCCTTGTACGGCCAGTATCGTCGCCGCCATTGGCGTAAATCTCGTCATCTGCCTCCATTGCCGATGGAGCAACGCGAATTTTGGAGGGGTTAGGGTTTTGGGGATGGTGAGTAGTTTGCTGGGGGGAAAGTTCCGTGGTGAGCAATCGAACCTACTGGACTGATCCGTCTCCCCGTCTTACACTTGGCTTTCTCCCGGGAGGCGGTGGAGGATTTTTATTGGGAACAGGGACGGAAACGACGTCACAAAGTTACTACGTCGTTTCGCTTTGATCAATTGACATTGTTTGGATCCAGCGGTGGGCTCGGGCTTCTTAATAAGTAAATTGTACACGAAGCCCGCTTTGTTGGGCTATCGATCCACTTCACATGTTGTTTGAAGTCCAGCTACTGGCCTGTGAGTGTGAGGCAAGCATTTTGTAGTGTGAGTGTGATCCTACGATGGAGTATATAGGTGTCAAAATAGAATGCGATCCTACTAATTCGTACGATCAATCTAATCCTCAACCTGATCGCAATTTGAATTGACTAAAAGTCAACAATCCGTAATTCGCCCGACTCGCAACCCGATTAACTCAAATCCGATTGACCCGTAACCTGATTAACCCAAATCCGACCGACTCAACCCAACTAACCCATAACCTGATCGAATCAACCCGAACTTCACCTAATTCACTTGAATAATTATTATTATATAATACATAGTTTTTCAAAATAAAGGTTTTCATTCTAATAAAATTATTTTTTCATTTCGCATAGCGAATTTAAAAAATATATAAATTACTTGATATTATGTATTGTAAGGAAATTATCAAAATTAAAACATGAAAGGTCATTTGAACACTAAGTTCTTCAAAAAAATTCAAAAAGTAAATATTAAATATAAAATCAGCATAATGTCAATATTAATAATGAATAACTAATAATTGAGATCATGAACAATATTAATATAATATATAAATTAAAATTTTGGTGAGTTTTAAATATTCAATAAAGTTATCAATCCAATATAAATAAAGTAAAGTAATTTATTTGGTATTTGATACTTTTAAAGGAAGAGGGATATTTTGGTGTATTCAACTTTTTGGGAAGAGAAAGAAGAGAAAATTTTGATTTTTTAAATTTAAAAAAAAAAAGAAACAAAGAGAAATTTTGGTGGTTTTGATTTGTGCGAACTTGGGAAGAGAAAGAAGTGGAAAAGTTTGGTTGAAAGAGAAATAAGGAGAGAATTTTTGAGTTTTCAACTTTTTGTGTAAGGATGGAAGGAAGAGGGAAATTTTGTTCTTCAATTTCATTGAAGAGAAAGAGGAGGGAAAATTGAGTGTTTCTAATTTATGAAAGGAGATAGAAGGAGAAAAAATGTAGTATTTTAATTTTTTGTGAACATAAATTTTTTTTTTTGTGGTGTTTTCAAATTTTTGGTATTTCGAAATTTTACCCTTTGAAATATGAATTTTTAATTTTTATATGAAGGGCATGACTAATTGATATATATTCTTATATGCTTTGTAGGCTAATATATATATATATATATATGACCAGTTATGCACGAAATAAATAAAAGTTGAAGATGATTTGAAAAAGATGAAGTAAAACTTGATAGTTTGATAGACTTCTTACATAGGAATTCTTGAGAGAAGATGATGGGAGGAAGCTTTGCAAGAGAGCAATTCCCACTCAAAACAACTCTACTACAACAAGTGAAGGGAGTCTCCTTTTATAGAGAAATGGAGTCCCCTTTTGGTAAATAAATTGAAAAACATAATGATGACAATGTGGACACTTATATGATTATGTCACATGTCATAACAAAATTACATTTTTAATATAAAGAAAAATAGATAATTTGTGGTCTTCTTTACATAACTAAATTGAGTGGGTTAGAAGTGGAGTCACTTCTTCTTTGTCTTTAGAATAGTGGGTTGGAAGTGGAGTCACTTCTTCTTTGTCTTTAGGATAGTGGAAGAAGCAATGGGGTCACTTCTTATTTGTCTTCAACTTAGTACTCTTTGTTGGCAAATGACCAAGCACTTCTTCATCCGGGTCATGGTTTTGGAACGTGGAATCCGCGTCAGATGTTGAGCTAGACGCCACATCTTTGAGAATTTGGAAGTGTTCTTCTTCAGTCTTGGCGTCAGCTAAGAGAGCGCTGATTGAGGATTTTGTTTGAAAAAATTGCGTTGAGGATTTTTCGATAACTTTGGACAGTTCAGGATTGTTATCGAACCATTGGAGGACTTGAGGTTTGTAGGTTTGTTCTGGGCGAGGATTTGCAGCCCAATATTTGGTTTTGAAGCTGTGGCCTAACATGGGTATCTTTGTGACGGCACAGGTTTGGTAACTAAATTCCCAGGCTGTAATCCGAGGAACTTTGATGTAGTAACAAAATTTGAGGAGGGATAATCCTGGACCAGAATATTTTTGACAGAAGGTTTGTTATCCCTCTAGTATCTCAGTTGGATAGATATTTTCAGTTGGCCCAAAAAGATCCCACCAGTGCATAAACCAGTTGGGGAAAATAATGGGAGTTTTGTAATCCCAAGAAAAAAAAACTCCAGGAGTGTCGGTACATATGGTTTTGCTTGAAGAAGGCATTAATCCAAACTTCATGGTAATCCCGGTAATTGAAGGATTGGCAGATTTGCGGGTGGTTAAGAGCAATAGTAGCAGGTAATTTTTGGTTGGTGTTTGGGCTAGTAGGCCATTGGTGAGGGTGGATAATTTGGTGGATTTTTGCAGGTTGAGTGGGTATTGAGTGTTTTGTCTAAGAATCAAATTTGTGAGAAAAGGTGACTGATCCAGTTTCTGTGAGGATAAGTTCATAATATTTGTGGGTTTGTTGAGGGATCTTGGTTTGAAGAACCACTCATTGAGGAAATGTTTGGCAGTAACATTTGGATATTGATGGTAGAAACCATCTTCAACAACGAAAATGGGTTGAAAAGTGTTTTTCTCAAAATACGTTTGAAATCGATTTTGATGGGCTTGGACAACCACCACCTCTTGGGTTTTGGGAAAAACGATTTTGAGAGGGGCTATCGAAGATGCCACCTCTGTTGAGGTAGGTGCGACATCAAGATGTTGCTGCTGATAGATTTGTTTGGTTTCTTCGGAAGAGATGGGTGTGGGTAGGATGCCACTTGGCGTTTGAGTATTTGAAAGAATTAGTTTAGAAGGGGAAATTGTTGAGGAAGTTGAAGCTTCAGTGGAAAGATTTTGTTTAGAACCAGAAACGACAATAAATTTTTGAAGGTAATTTTGAGCTTCAAGAGGAAGCTTATCAATATTGATTAAAGCTTTGGATGAACTTGAGTGTGAACCAGAATCATCAGAACTTTCTTCATACTCACTTGAATGATCAGGGCTTCCTTGTTCATCATCAAATATCTCTCTCCATGTTTGATTTTGATTTTCTCTTTATCTCGCAATCTAGTGGTAGGGGGCATTATGACTGAGGATTTCAAGCCTGAGAGTTTTCCGCACTTCGTCCTCCCTGCGAAAATTCCAGAGTAAGGAAGTCTGGAAGAGAGTTTGAAGAACCATTTATAAATTGTATGTCGAAATAAAAAATGCTAAGGATGGCTTGCCATCGTGCAAATATTTGTTTAGAAGCAAGATTTTGAACATCTTTTCCAAAATGTATTTTGCTAATTGGCAATCAATGCATAATAAAATTTTTTGATTGAGCAAATCATGCTGAAATTTTGAGATGCATAAAACAATAGCAAGCAGTTCTTTTTTGATAGTGGAGTAATTGATTTGGATAGGGTTCCAATGTTAAGAAGTAAAGCGTACCAACAAATCCTTATCATTTTGAATCTGCTTAAGGATTCCTCCATATCCTAGGTCAGAGGCGTCGGTTTCGACGATTTTAGGGAGAGAAGGATCACTTATGTGAAGGCACAGGAGACTCTGAACCTGCCTCTTAATTTGCTGAACTATTTTGGTATGCTGGTCACTCCAGGGAGGGGGACTCTTTTTCAATCTACCATGGAGAGGTTTACAAAGAAGATTGATGTTGGGATAAAAGTCAAGGACATAATTTAAACTACCCACGAACCGTTGTAATTGATTTTTGTCTAAAATTTGATCAGGAAATTTATCTGCAAATTGAAGAGATCTTTCGATTGGAAAAATTGTTCCTTGACTAATGTAGTGACCCAAAAAACGTATCTTAGAGACAGCTAGACCGTTACGTCGAGTGACTTCAAGAAATAGATTGAGATGTTTGAAATGTTGGTCAATGGACGAAGAAAAAACCAGGCCATCATCAACATAAACTATTATGAAATCAAAATAAGGAGAGTAGATTTGATTCATAATTCTTTGAAATTCTGAGGGAGCATTTTTCAAAACAAACGGCATGACGTTCCATTCATATTGGCCAAAGGGAACGGTAAAAGCAGTTTTATAGCGGTCTGTTTCTTTGATTTGGATTTGCCAAAATCCGAATTTCATGTCAAATTTAGAAAATATTAGGGACTGCGAAAGTTTCTGGAGTAGATCCTTTTGTTTGGGGATAGGATACCTAATCCATTTCAGAGCCTTATTTAACGGTTTCTAGTTTATAACAAGACGAAGAATGCCACGTTCCTTTTCTGCATTGTTAATGACATAGAAAGCATAACAACTCCAAGGGGATTGACTAGATCTGATAAGAACCTTTTGGAGCAATTCTTTAATTTCTTATCAACAATGTTTTCAAGGTCTGAATTCATTTGGATAGGCCTAGCCTTGGTGGGAATGAGATTTTCTGTGAAATCTTTTTTGTAATGGAGCTTTCAATGTGCTCTTTTAAAGAGTTGACTCTTTTTTGCAAAAGGGGTTGAGAAAGCTGTTGTAAGATTCGCTGAAAATGTATCTCATCATGCAAATAAGATATTTGATTAGTTTTACAGTGAATTATATGGTGTATATATTTTATAGAAGAACGTCACAAAACATTTAGGTTTCGAACTTTTGGTTTTTGGAGAAACTAGAATTCAACATTGTTGCCTAACACAACAGTGTTAATTCCATGGTCGGTGACGGTAAAAGGTTTTAGAAGATTTAGAAAAGG